GATTTTCTGCCTAAGCTCCAAACTTCCACTCAAATCACTGGAAATGGTGACACAATGTGTACACTGTCTTCTTGGCTCACACATTAGCTTTGATTTTTAGCCAGTCTCTTGGCTTTTGTAAACTAGCTTGTGGACTGTCTGTCTTGCTCAGATGTTGGTCTCTTCAACACCAAATTAATTTTTAGGCATTAATGTTACGTGCTGCAGCCCTCACGCAGCAATTGTTTGGAAGCTAGGAGGACATACTGCAGTCAGTGTAAGGCAGTGTGGGTAACTGCTTTCCACAGGAGCTTGATTTTCAGGCTACTTCACCAAGGCAGCTATCTGGTAATGAGCTTCAAGTCTACATTATAACGAAACTTTATTAAAGGTAAAGGGAAAAATTGTCAGATAAGGTATCTTTTTAAAGTTTGGGGGCGTCTGTTAATGAGACAGTTTCCATCAGACCAACTGAAATCAACAGATATTTTGCCTGAGGGAGTGTTGCACTGCGGTGATGTTTGAAGGGAACTATTTTTCACAGGAAGGAGAGCAAGACATAAATTCATTGTTACTTGGATGGTGGTTGAATCTCATTTTGAGGATCTTAGGGGAATGTCTCTTTGCTTAATTACCTAATCTGTAAATTAAGTCCTTTAAAGCACACTAATTAGTAAATATTCCTGTATATGCCTTTTGAGTTCTTTGACAATAGTCTTTCCTCCTCTATTCTTCAGGAAATACCCGATTGTATCATAGCATCCTTTTTTTTTTTTAATTTGACTTCAATGGTCTGTGAAAAGAATTTTGAACTTAAAATGAAAAATCATTTCTACATTTTAGTATGTGGAACTGTACTGGTATGAGGTTGATTTTTGATTTGAAATGATTTGATTTATGAACCAAATTAAGACTTGTTTAAAATTGTTCTTGTGATAGCTTGTTGAAAGTATAAAATGTGTTATAAAACCAAGACAGACTTCAGAATTTAACTTGAAAATATTTTCTAGGTGAAATAAATGTGTTATTTGCCTCTTGCTTCCTCAGGCAGCAGGAGCAATCAGTCCTCTTGTGTCTACTGTCATCAGTCCGTCTGCGGATGGTTGCTTAGACCACTCACTAGACCGTACCAAACACAGAGCAAGCGAAATGCCACAGGCCTTCCTATTTGATGTGATCTACGAAGCATATCAGCAGGTAAGGATCTTGGCTTCTTGAAAAAGCTGCTGTGTTACGGGCCTCTCAGGACACCCGCACCTTGGGAGATTTGCTAGAAGAACTCCCGGAACTCAGTATTTAGTTGTACACATGGAGAACGTTGGGAGTGAAGTAGTCAGGACACACAGCTGGATCACGTGAGAGAAACAGGCAGAGTGTGGAGGAATCCATTCCTTAGGCTCTGTGCCCTGCAGGGTCGCATAAAGCACACCTTCCCTCCAGCAAAGAAGAGGCAGCAATGTTTATGTGACGTATCTCCCCAGGGGAGCCCATAAGAGACCTAATGTGTAAGGTATTGGATTGATCACAGACGTACCCTTTGCCTAGTGCATAAAAGCTTCAGATTCCCAGGAGGAAAGCAGGGGTTCAGCCTAAACCATGCTGTTTATGCAAACAGTCTAGACACAGTGAGCCATGCTTATCAGTTAACTGTTCACTGGAAATACTCCAAGAGCCAAGCTCCCAGATGCTGGCCGAGGACCCAACTGGTGAGCAGGTCTTCCTAAGTGTAGCATTCTCAGGCCCGCAGTGGTAACAATTTCTCCACCGCTGTATAGACATTTTATTAATTAACATTTTAGCTAAGGTAAAGTAATTGCAAAATAGCAAATCCATATTTAGATTATACTGGATTATCTTGGTTTTCATATTTTGGAAACAGTTTGTACCTTTAAAATTTTACTGGCATTTATTTGAATTTTATTGATCAGTTGTTAAGTTTGTCAGAAACTTCCCAATGAAATATGGTGACTTAAAGCAACTAAGCCAGTGCTTGGCTAGTGTTAGACAATCAGTAAATAGAGACAGATGGACTTTTAAGAATGAGGTAACAGTAAGATAAATATTAACATTTATAATAGAAGAGTTGCACATTTTGGATGGAAGGTATTCACGTAATGAATCAATCTTAACTGTCGGTTACCATTTTAAATATTGAGACTGTAAATCAATCAGTTTTAATGGTATGAATAGTCGGTCATGGTTTGTATTTTCTTACAACTTGTTAGACCAAAATTTACTTGTATTTGGTCATTAATCATAAATATTTTACTATTAAAAACTTCTGAGGTTTTTATTTAAAAATCCTATTTTATAGCCTAAATCATGCTGAGCCAAACATTTGTCGAACATTTCTAATACTTTCTAAGGTTAATGTAATAATTTATTCATCTTGATGTAAGCATTTACATCAAGAAGAATAAATGTGGTAACTATATTGTAGAGAATAGAATGTCATGATACTCACATTACAGCGGCATGTTTCAGCAGTCGTTCCTAGAGAATTAAGCCCTATTGCACTGAGGCGCAGGTTCTCAACCTGTGGTTCCCAGACCAGCAGTGTGAGCATGTTTGGAAACTTGTTAAAATGCAAATTCTGGGGCTCCACCTTAACTAGAAACTGGGAATGGGGCCCATCTATTTGTGTTTAAACAAACAAGCCTGCCACATGACCCTGAATCTTGGGACCCACCAACCTGAAGTATCCATTTTCGGTGAATAATTCTCTTCTATTGCATTCTTGGGAAAATTGAGAACAGTCACTGAGAAATAACAGATGTGTGGTTCAGATGAGAAATCCTCATTTAAGACATTTTGGAGGTTTTGATAGACATTCTTATGAATTATTTTTGATGATAAAGACACACAAGGCAGTTTGAGTATATAACACATTTCTGTCTATTAGCTCTTTGATTTGTGTACGTACACATTTTTGTTTTAATGAACTAATACGAAAAATGAATGTTCACACTTTTATAAAGAAAGCTAAACTAAAAAGGCCATGTTTGAGAGTAAAACCATACTTGACTGCCCCCTGATGCCTTCTCTCATCCTTGAACCTGCCTTTATAGCCCACATCTTTCCCAGCAACACTCAAGACCTGAAGTCTAATGCCTATAATGCCTTATCTACACTACTCCCCAGAATGATACATCTGATTCAGCTGTGGAGTTTTGTTCATACTGTGTCCACATGCATGCTGTACAAGCAACTGTTACTGTACTTTGCTTTTGCTAAAATATTTTCTAACCACTTTTAGAAGATACACATGTCTCTCATAAAGTAATAATTTTCCATGATGTTTGGTGCCAAAGTTGTCTGGATTTGTAACGTAGCTTTCTTCTTGGGTGTTACACAAAGTATTGCCAGAAGAACCAGAAGGAAAGCTTTGCTTTTAAGTGGTTCCGGCAGGGTTTAATGTTATATTGGGCTATTGCTTAGGACATTGACAAGTCATATATAGTGACATAAAAAAGATTATTAACTATATAATACTAATTCTGGCATGTGTGGGAAGCACCTTTATAGAGAATGGTTGTATGGGATCCAACCCTTTAAACTACGTGCCCTTCAACATGTTCTGAAATATTGTAGACGTCTCAGAAGTAAACATCTAATCTCTTCTCTACACATGATTTCAGCATTGATGTCATTACTTTATGGGCATTGTTATTTGTGGGCATTAATATCTTGAAGAAGAGTGAGGATGAGTTGGATATTTCAAAATATGAGCTAGAGATGTCATCTAGCATTGTCTGGGCAGTTCAAGAAGACATTTTTCATATGTTTTGAAATGAACTCATTTTTTGTTTTAGGACTAGTGGGGATCATTTTTTACTGAGAATATTTTGACTGAGGGTTTAGTTTTAGTTGAAACTTAGGAGCACTGTGTATGCCAAGATGGCCATATACTTCCTAAACCTCACAGTAGGTTGTCTGAAAAAAAAATAGTGGTAGTTCTCTGCTTACAGTATTGTCTGGATTCTGTATTGTGTCAAATCATTACCTAGAGCTTTTGGCTCCCAGGAATGATAGAATAGCTTGAACAGCTAACCGCCAGTGGATAAATTAAAAACTGTGGTATCTGTCTCTTGAGAGAGAGAAACATCAATACAGAAGGAGAGGTGGGATGTACACGTGTCTATTTGTACTTGTACAATGGCAAAGAGAAGGGACTGAAAGTAGGCCACAACTGGAAGGGATTCAGCCTTCTAGAAGAGAAAGAAGAGAATCAGGCTAGGTCAGAGCCACACTTAGGTGGTGCGCCACTGAGCTCTGGATCCACTCCTCACCACGTTGCCGGATCCCGCGGACATCTCTCCTTTGCCAAGACATTTTAAGGTTCATCAGTGAAGGGTGTTAAGGCGACACTGCAGGTTGAAGGGACTTTTCTGAGTCTGGGGTGCTTCCACTCCTGCTGCCTCTGCATCTGCCATTGGCATGCAGGTGGGGCACACAGTGTCATTCACTCTGCGTCAGTTTTGATGCCATTCTCTGCCTGCTGACCCCCTGGTGGAGGATTTCCTCTTAGCCAGTCCTGGACGGCAGTTCTGTGCATGCCAGCCTTGGTCTCTGGGCCCTGAGCCTCTGTCTGCGGGTCCCTGTTCAGCAGTCTCAGGCTCCCGGCCATCCAGAGGGGCTCTCAGCTTGCCAGTCCTCCCCCAGGGATTCTGAGATACTAGCCTTGGCCTGCTGGTCGTGGACCCTGCTCTGGCCCAGGTCCGGCCATTAACTCCTCCACCATCCAGTGTGCCACCAACGTACCTTCTCCAGTGAGATTTGAATCTCAGGCTTGGATGTAGGGGCCGCCTTCTTCCCAAGTTTGTTCCTTCCTTGGGTGTCTTCCCTCAGACTTAGAAGGTTTCTTAGAGTTCTGTTTTCTTCATTCTTTATAAAGCCATCCTGCATAGTAATACACTGTTAAATCTCTGCCATTCAAATTTTTGTGTAGTTTGACTCCTGCCTGAACACTGAGTGACACATAATACAAGCGGTTTTTCCCCGAGGTCACTTCTTAGTCACTCTAGTGGTGAGGCAGAAAGCTATTACCTTTTTTGGCCTGCGAAGCCAGAGGATGGAGTCTGGGGCCTCCAGGAAAGTTGGCCATGGAAGGAGGTATTCCAGATGGAGGAAGCCACACAGGAGAGAGGGCCGATATTTGCAATATACAATTTCAAGCCTTTGCTGACTCCTGAACTGTGCATGTGTGGGGCAGTATCCTAAGGGACTCAGGAGAAAATCGTCAGCGGGAAGCCTGAAGGAGGTGAGCAGAGATTGGAGCACCAGCTCGCCCCAGAGGAAGACAGGGTTTGGAGTTGGGGTCTTGCTATGTGAAAGAGAACTGGTAAACACGGCTGGCTTTTCATGAAGATTCTAGAAGGACCACATTTTAGGAGTGCCACTTTCCAGGAAACACCATGTCACCCAAGCATGTAGTTTGTGAAATATCACCTACAGTGTCTAGTACATATTTTGAAACTTAAATATTAAGAAGGTAAAAGTGGCTGATGTTAAGTGGTCAATAGTAAAAGACCCAGAGGTTGAAAACAGCAGCATAGGAGTTTAAAATCTCCATGACAAGGTTAGTATAATGGGTGAAGGGTGAGGAATTTCAAGACAAATATGGAAAGGGTAAAAGATCAAATAGAAATCTGAGAACTGAAGTAAAGTATCCTGGATTGAAAAAAACCATAGTGAATCTGTTGGCTGTAATCAACAGTCACCTTGAAGATAGACTGGGTTCCCAGAGGTCAAGGTGGAGGCTCCTGTCTCGTTACAGCTGGAGCCTGGATCCGGAACACCGTGACTTGTGCCATCTCCATAGGTCACAGCAGTTAAAGTCCAGCCCATGTATTTAAGGAGAGGGAACACAAACACCCCCTCCTCATAAGGAATCGGTGGCTCTCTTTAATCCACCACAATCACCATGTTGTAAGAGTAAAAAATGTGGAATCATTTGTGTTTAGTTTCTGCGACTTTGTGTTCAGTGTTTCACTATACTTCTCTGAGTCTTGGTATTTTTGACCACGACAGAAGATAATATCTTTGCTAGGTTGTTGAGAAGGAAATAACTAGAAATAGTGGCAGTTACTGCAAGTTCCACATTATTATAAATCCATTGTTTGCTTCAGTTTGTTCAGCCCCTAGTAAAGTGTTTAAATGTAAAAACTTAAGAGTTAATTCTATAAACTGAATCTCTT